AGCCGAAATTCGAATCAAGAGGTCTCACGAGTTTAAATCATTTGTGAAACTGAGCTACGCGGTCGTCAAATCGCAATACTAGCCTAAACACCAAGCAATGAGTACAGTAGGCTTACAGACTAATGTTAAATATTGCTAAATATTTGTGAAATTTGCACCCGTACGTAAATGTAACGATGCTAGCCAACAGATACTTGAACTGGTCAAGCGTTCTACTACAAGAATACGTTCTTATTTAGAAAAAGTAAAAGTAAATTATCAGCCTATACATATCCCACCGCTGGGCAAAGGGCTCCTCTGTACAGAGGGTATCGGGGCATAGTCCACCACGCGGCCCCACTGCGGTTTGGCGGACTTCACATATCTTCGAAATATTTTATTTTTATTATTATTTCTAAAATATGCAGGTTTCCTCTCGATGTTTTCCTTCACCGCTGAGCACGTGATAATTCGGCACTTGAAATTAACAATTTCATTGGTGCCGGCACCGGGGATCGAACTCAGATTGCTCGAGTACATTGAATTAAAGGCGTGCGCCCGGACACTGAGCTATCACGGCTCTTGTTCTAATATGGATACATAGGATACATGGGATACATTGGATGTTACCACAAAAAAAAATGTCTTCCCCTATCATAGATCAAATGCAAATTAAAAATATCTTTATAAACATTGACGCTTGCCCGTTCTTATGAAACGTCGAAATTTTACAAATAAATTAATACGTAGTTGCATTTCTGTTGAGAAGAAACCGGCAAGAAACTCAATAGTTGCTCTTTTTTTTTAAAAAGTCTGTTGACAATATGAATGTGGTACGGGTTTAACAGTCTATTCTTCAGTTTTAGCCTACGTTAATGTCAACATACTCCTTACCGTTTCAAATCCGGCGAGCGCAATCACTGGCAATATTTAAAAGTCTCGTTAAAGCTCACTTTTTTCCTCCCTAAACATTTTATCTCTATTTTATGATTTTTTCTTTTTTTTTACTCATAATTTATTTCAAATTAAATTTCCGTTAAATGGCTTTTGTGCACTTATCGTTCCCTTCATTCCATTCATTTATTTGTGTATAGTAGTGGTGTGTACATGTATCTATAATACCTATATTTGCAATCACTTCTAAGCGATAAGGCTGCCAATTGTACCTTTATGTAGTTGTTTGTTACTTTTGTAATTATGTCTGGTGTACAATAAAGCGTATTTCATTCATTCATTCAAACATTTTTAACTCCACACAGTGTGCAGGCCCTTGCTTTAAATTCAAGATACTCGAGTAACTTGATTTGAAATCAAGTTAGTGAAGGCACCAAATGCAGTATTACATACAACATTATATGCCTATAACAGCTGCATGAAGTAATAGGAAAACAACGTGAGGATATCAGCGTGTTTCTGTAATAATAATGAAAAGAAATATTTCGTAGATAAATAGTAAGTCCGCGGTGGGGTGTAGTGGTGTACTATGCCCTGATACCCAAGCTGTTGCTCAGCACTGAGACTATATACAGCGTGTCGTTACCACCGCGACAATAAATGAACACACATATTGAGGACAACTTTTTAAAATTGTATTAAACATTTACATTCTTTAGACATCAATATTTACCGAGTTATTAAATTTTCCAAAATAAACAATTTTAGAACACCCTGACGTATAAAACTGTAACGTAAAGTTCATTTGTAAAGGTCACAAAGCATACGAATGGGTTGAATTAATTTAAAAGAGACAAAACATACTGTTAGAAGGAGAGGCTTGTAATGCGACGCTATGGCGCGAGTTGTATAGGATGTTACAAATTTTGTTTCTTTTTTACTTAATTAGTTTGTTTGAAATATATTTTTTTTAATAATGGATTTTGTTTAACGTTAACATTTTTTTATGATTATTGGCAAGTAGCGTTACACGTGTGTTCTTATATACAATATATATATGCGTAGAACGGTAAGGTATAAATAAAGTCTCCAAAAGTTGATCACTAGAGAGCCACTGTGGCGAAGTGAGTGTGATACATGAGTAGGAAAGCCCATAAAAACTCACACCAATCGCCCAGAGAAGTAGGCAGAAATATTTTTACAAAATTCAACCCGTTTTCATACATGAAAATTTTGTGGAGGCTTATCGTGACAAATAATATAAAAAATTACACCGTGCTTAATTTTGCAAGATTCCAAAACAGGCCATTGTAATATCATAAGTTGTTTGGACTCTGAAAGTTGACCCGTCTCACCCTCGAAATTTCACTGATAATGTGCCTATTTACCCGAATTTTCCCATGAAACCTATACAGAACGTATTGCAGGAGTAGAGTGCACATACCGGGAGGACGTACACCACAACAACCATAAAAGTAGGTCCGACCCAAACAATGCCCACAACAATTCCAGTAACGTGCAAAAGGCTTTGTTCGATAAACATTTTCAATTAAAATTCCCGAATCTACGAATCGCGCGTTATTAAATCACGAAGCGAAGCTTTTTTCCCAACAATTCGTTGTTGTTATCGGCGATGGAAATGCTTACATTAAACGAATATCATTATTTCCTTGAAGACATTTACGATTTTTGGTCTTGGAATCTAATAGTGAGGCGGTGGTGTGGCACTATTTTTTGTGACGTGTAGCCTGCTGTTAGCCCTGGCTTTGACAGCCCCGGCGGAAGACCTCCGCGAGAACACTACCCACGGACTGGGTAGAACAGCCCAATCTTTAAAGGGTTGTCAACGCACCTGCAACCCTCGGATGTAGCAGTTGTCCATGGGCGGCGGTATTCACTTAACATCAGGTGAACCGTCTGCTCGCTTGGCAACTTTTCACATAAAAAACAACGTAGCTGCTGCACTCCGCAACACCCTACTAACGAAATATGGACAACCGACTAACAGGGGAGGGGGAGGCTGGGGGTAGACACTGCTACGTGGTGCCTCGCTGGGCGCCTCTCACCATGCTACGCCGTCTATACACAGCGGCGTTGCATTATCGGGCGGCGGATGATTATCTTTATATAAATAATTCTACTGTACGTGTGTATGTCACTGAACTGCCCCTAAATGGCTGGACCAATTTTAATGAATTTTTTTGTGTCTTCTGGTCGATTCTAGAATGGTATAGATGCACAATTTTTCTTAATTTGTTTTTTTTAAGATATCGGATTTGTTTTTTTAAGTTATATTATTTGCGCGCGTAAGTGTGTCGTCTGAATGATCTATAACGTTAATTGGACGGCGTAGTCTCGGTTGCACGAGGCGGGTGGGATAGATTCAGAAAGCTTTCACCAAGGGATTTGTATGGGCAGCACTAAACTAAGAATCCCCCCACAAGTTATTCCACGGTTTTTAACTCACCGCGTTTATCAACTGGCACTAAATTGCTCACGATTAGAAAACCAAGTAAGCTAGGAAGTAATAAGGAATGAATAACTTCAGGAATAACAACGCTATTTCGACTTCGAAAGAGCAGAAAAACATAAATCAAACTCCCGTTGTCTGTAAGATCTCGCAGAGGTCGTACAAAACTGAAAACGTTTGACCTTATTCCAGTTCTACGAAGGTTCGGTTGAAGAACACGATTCTTGGAATTTATCAGTAATTTGTACAGTTTCTTCACTGCCATAAAATCAATAAGAGGGAAATGTATGATTTATTTAATAGAGAACTGAGACGCCAGTACATTGAGTACACTGAGTACTGAGTACAGTTCTCTATTAATCAGACGTGAAGCTCAGTGTCCGGGCATTCACTTTTAGTTCATTACTATTGACCCGCCCCGGTGTGAAAAGTTGACAAGCGAGCAGGCGGTTCACCTGATGTTAAGTGAATACCGCCGACCGTAGACATCTGCTACGCCCGAGGGTTACAGATGCGTCGACAACCTTTTGAAGATTGAGCTCCGGCTACCTCACTCACCAGACGTAACGCGAAAGTATTTACTATATTCCACTTCACGCCGGTCTTCTGTGAGGACTTCGTACCTACCCGGACGAGCCTGCCCATTCGTGCAACAGCCGAGTCTGCGGGGCCTACCACAGTTTGCAGTTTGCAATGTATTATGCATATAAAACTTCCTCTTGAATCACATCTATCTAATATAAAAACTCATCAAAATCCGTTGCGTAGTTTTAAAGATTTAAGCTAACATTGGGACAGGCAGACAGCGGGACGACTTTGTTTTGTACTATGTTGTGATCGCGTAATCAGAATTCGCTATTGAAATTGTTAGTTTGAAGTGCTGACTTATGTCATAGTGAGGAAATCTGCAAATTTTCTAAATATTAAAAAAAATTTCGAAGTTATGTGATGCCCGCTAATAAGCAATGGAATCGCGCCCTCCACTATGGCCTAATACCCTGTGTACAGAGTAGACCTTTGATTAACAGAGAAGCATATGATATAGTCTGTTACTTTAATTTTTACTATACTAATAGAGAATTTAATTTCACAAAAACAATGACCTCGTATTAAGAGCAACACGATTATTGTTTCTGACTAACATTGATTGGAACTGATGTGTTCTGTTTTTTTATTAAGTGTCTTAATATAAACACATTAATATTACTTACACGCACTATTTATAACAATTTATAATTTATGAAAATTATGGTAATATTTTGTTGTATTAACCTTCAAATTTCCTGTTTATTTTCTGTTTGAATATGTGAGACATGGATAAATCTATTAATAAAAAAGTACAGAAAATAGTTGCTCTCTTTTTTCTTACATGTGACTGATATTAAGAATTGTACGATGATGATTATTGACTACTTGCTGGGAATATGTGACATTTCCGGGTATGCAAAACTTATTGAGATGTAGACAGCACGTAAATAATCACCTATATCTTTATGCACTTTGCTTTTAAATGTGTTAGGTTGCTTCTCAATTTGATATTAATCATCAGAAGACCCGAGTTGTCATGAGTCCGACATATATAGATATTGTCATCACCTAAAATGATCATCAGCCCATATATATGAGGGTACAGCAACATGAAAATAACGTTATGTTACTCGGAAGGACGTAGAGACAGAGCTTCGGAGAGCGCGTTCGTGTGCGTGCGGCGCGCTAGTGTGCGTGCCGCTGCAGGTATCGGCCGCTCAGTTCGCTTCGGGCAGCTGTGCTTGGAGGACGTGCCGTGGGAACGCTCCCAGCGTCCGATGACACGTACTGCGGCAGAGCGAGAGACGACTCTCGTATCGCGTAGCGCTTCTACGAAGTTTCGAATGCTAGGGGTTGTAGATTTTTTTTATATGAGAAACTTATGCTGAATTTTTCTCAGTGCGACGAGAAAAGACAGTGCGAAGTGTTGTGAGATCAACGGAAATTGATTCAAACAGTGCAGTGCATGGATGTACGAGGTTCTGTGGTCTGTGCTAATTTTCCGTTTCATATAGAATATTTAACTGACTGAAAGTGTGAAGTGTTCGAATTCCGGAACTTTTCTGGAGTTGTCTGCGGCACTATTGTAAGTCATGATATTAAATTAAATTCAATTAATTGAAAAATAATGTGCCATTTATATTAAAGTTTAATTACAGTTTAATACCTACATATTCACAGTTCAATCGCTATTTCTTTGGATGTTATGTAATAATTTTCTTTAATAGGTCCACGAATGGATTGTATTTACATAAGTACGCGAAGAGTAGAGTGATATTGTAATTTAATGTATCCAATAAGTCTTAAGCATTATGTAATATTGATGTGTTTATGTAAATCACAAAATGATGCTAAGGCCTCGACATTGAAGATTGTTCGAAACTCTATCAATCTTTACTGAATTGATTATAGTATGAACTAGTTAGGACAGCCTTTTGGCCCATTGAAATAACGGTTGTACAGAAATGAGTTCGTTAGCATTTTAATAATTTTAATCACACGCTATAAATATGCAGAAATACATAAACAGCTTTAAGAGTTTATTTCAATGAAACAATACAAATTATTTTATTCATACGAAATAAGTTATTTGATCTGACTTTATGATTGCAATGTTGCATTGGAAATTGTGATTGAAAATTGAGGAACGTTCTTTCAAGAGCTCTCTGTCTTCGGTATATTGAACAGAAAAGACTTATAGATTTCTTTTACGATTTGCAATTAAATTTTACCCTCGCTTAATACATACACCCCGAATTACGCGCTACGTTAAATATTGCTAAATAATCGATGATTTTAGGTGATTGAAAAAGACTTATCCCATGTAAATTATTCAGCTCAATCATTGACACGTACAGAGGATTACATCCATTTTAACACAAACTAGAACAGCACAGCTCGTGTGCGCTTAGAGCCTGTCAGGTGCATACACAACATCTACATCCAATTTAACGCGTTACTTCCATGTTATAACAGCTAGGAATGTTGCCAGTACAATTGTTGAGACACAATTTTCTTTGTGTAGAGTAAAAGGATTTTGTAAATGAGACTAGCAGACGTCTTGTGACCTCATTTGGGCCCTACCCTTGGGTAGACTATCGTATTCTAGACTGTGGAACATTTACCCTATGAGGTGATAAGAAACATCTGTATCGTAATTCTTTTGTGTTACATAATCTAAATATAATGAAACTGTAAACGTACTGTTACAAATTCCTTTAACTTTTGGCCTTGGAGATGCTAAAATTGTGATCGGGTGGGAAGTACGACACCGGAAATCTTAGCTTACGAAGACAATTATGATTCGCGTACAAAATACATTGCGATACAATATTAATTTCTATTTGTGTTTCGTCTTGTATTCGTACCTTATTTCTTGTCAAAGAAGTGGTAGTTTATAATAATGTGAAACGGCGGATAAATAATAAATTCGCATGAATGATGCTGCTAATAAACAAATAGGTAGAAGGATATATTCTACCTCATCGTCATCACTTTAACGTTTTAGCCGAACTCAGGCATCTGCTCCACGCAAATTCGTTTCGATACATTCAGCCTTTAACCTTATTTCCTGATATAAATAATTAAGTTACTTAGCGTAAGGTAATTGGGTAATATGAATAATGGTTACCTCATGTGGGGATTCTACAGAGTTCAAATAACATTAGTTAACACCGCAGCATTAAGTATTAGTTTTTCGACATTCATGAGAAAATATAAATAGCAAATTCAGTAATTTTACGCAGCAATAATCGAGCGCATGGATAGCTTTATACATGAATAATATGGTTTAATATCAAAGTTTCGCGTAAAAATCCAACAAAAACAATATTTTCGTGTTTTTATAGATATTCCTCTTTTAACACAAACTTGCCACAAAAGTGCTTGATTAATATTTCAACCGACGGAAATTGGCTATCATCAGTTCTCCAGTGTTGCTCCTAATAATAGACGGAAAAAATGGTAAAACAATAAATGAAGAAACACCCTCATTGCCGTCACGATGATTGGCAGGACAACGTCTGCGGCTGACGAGCTTTCCTGTCACGCCCTACCAATTTGTAGGATCAGTTCTCACTATCGCTACTTTATGGCCGATGCATCCATGAATTAGGTAGATGATATTTTTTTTCCTAAAAGGCAGCCTGTGCCACACTCGTAAAAATGCATAATTGTGTTAAAGCTTCCGAGAGTGGATAAAAATAAATAAATAAATAAACGTTTTCAGAATATATTTTACACAACGTCATCTAATCCAACCATATATAGCTGGTATTCTAGGCACTAGATAACTTATAAACAGGCTTTTCTTTTATAAATGAATACACATTATAAGTATACAAACACACAAACACTAGAAAGACGCCAGTAGTGGGTAATTAGATGACATTTTTCCCCGAAAAGGCAGCCTGTTCCAAACTCGTAATAATACATAATTGTCTTTAAACTTCCGAGGCTGGTTAGAAAAATGTTTTCGGAACAAATTTTGCACGACGATATCTAGTCCAACCACATACAACTTGTATTCTAGGTACTAGATAACTAATAAACAATATTTTATTTTATAAATGAATATACATTATAAGTATATATGTGTGATACCCACACACTAGAAAAATTCTAGTAGTGGGGATCGAACCCACACCCTTTAGCGCAAGAGACAAGTACACTATCCATCACGCCAATCGGTTCGTCACGGTGAAAACATATTGACACACTAGAAAAATTCTAGTAGTGGGGATCGAACCCACATTCTATAGCGCAAGAGTCAAATTCACTGTTAATGACGCCAATGGGTTCGTCACGGTGAAAACATATTGCTTCGAATCAGCCGCTTGCTTCTATACTTCCAAGTAAAAATGTAAATCCCACGCCTTATTGATTGCAAAAGTTATCATATAACGCCTCTGCCAGCACTTTAAACTTATTACCCCCGGTTTCATTACCACCGTTGTCTCCGCAATTAACTGTTATGATTACGTTTGGCTGCCTCCGGCCATTTGAAACGCCACCGCGCGTCCTGAGGCGATTAAACTTGTATTAGCCACCGCGTTCTGCGCTCGCTAATGGGGGCATTGTGTTTTTACGCGGGAAAGTTTCGGCGATACCGGTGATTTCGGCGGCAGTGTAAGGCGCGCGGCTCGCCGCCGATTGTGTAAGAATCGACGTCGTCTATCTCGATTACATGTGTAAGTGTCATTGTACGTCGGCGATATCAATTCGAAAATATAAAATGCGGTAAGGCGACGCAACGGTTTTCTCTGTTGCACAAATGGACAGGTCCGTCTGTGTAAGTAACACGACCTCTCAATAGACCGGCGTGAAGTGCTGGTACTGCGTTTCGTTTGTTGGGTGAGGTAGCTGGCTTACTTTATTAAAAGGTGGCAATGTATCTGCAACTCTGCGGGTGTTGCAAATGTCAGCAGTCGCTTAACATCAGTTCAACCGCCAGCTCTATTGCCATCTTCTCATATAAAATAATAAAGAAATATTACGCCTATTAATGCTTAAAGATAAATAATCTTCAATGTTATCTTTAAGTTATTGCTATTATTATGACTAAGAAATTAAAAACGTTACAGTGCTAACATCTGCACGAAAAATTACAAAAAAAAATTGAGATTTTCTGTAAGACGTCGAGATTTTCTTAGGTGTGGCATTCAGCCTTTTAGCTTATTGGTTAAAGCGTCCAGGCGCGAATCCGGAAGACTTTAGTTCGATTCCCACACGGACGAAAAACTTCATTATTTTTTCTACAAATCTCAATCACTGTAAGAATTTTATGCCTTTCAACTATGTACTTACTGTAGGGTAATTTAAACTTTTGACATTAGTATGGGATTGTTACTTTCGTAAGCCACCTACGATCTACAAACACAAATTCTTGGCTCCACTGTTATCTGTTATCGGGGATTACAGTCACCGTAAATCTTGATTTAGACTGATCAATTGTTATTAGCTCAGTTGATCTAAGACTAGTATTCCTAAGATGGCACACTTTAAATGATCCCTTTGAAATATTTTAGAGTTCAATTAAATTCCCGTCTAAAATTAAATTACACTAACTATCGCACGTGGTTTAACCCGCTTGGTTACATTTTCATATGACATCAGATAGCTTAAAGAAAACGTCTAGAACAACTTTTTAAATTTCTCGGATGGAAATCATGCTCAAGACGGAATAAACCAACAAGCATAATATTTCAACATATATGATACTATTTACATTAATCAAACCATTTAAATAAATTTACGATGATTATCTGCAAGCGTGTTAGACATCACTTTAGCTAACAGCCATAAAAACGTATACCGTTGTTTTACAACGCAATAAATTAGATGATGTTGTAATAACGCCGTTGTTAAAACACTTCGATTTAAATAGATTCACACTGTTGGATAACAATTAAAATTTTAACTACTTTCGATTTTAATTTAATCGATTAACCATTAACACCGACCCCAACATATTTAACATAAAAGTCTAGCGTCTAAATATAGGTTTATTTTAAGCTCCTATTGAACGGTCAAAAAACTACCACCGGTTCACTAAACTCGACCTGACCAGAAAAGAACGTAGATAAGTATCTATTTTATCACTTTTCTTCGATTTAGATTTGTTTTATTTACCGTGCAAATTCATTTAAAATTCTCGCTTTGACTATGCCATGTAATCCCATGGGCATTTGCAACACTATTAGGGTTGCATATGCAATGTTACCTTTTAATAAAGCGCGATCCGGTAACCTATGGTGGTAGGGCCACGCAGCAGCCTCGGCTGTTGCACGAATGGGCAGGCTCGTCCGGGTAAGTACCGCGACCTCACAGAAGCCCGGCGTAAAGTGGAAGTATGACAAATACATTCGCGTTACGTCTGGTGAGTGAAGTGGCCGGAGCCCAGTTTTCAAAAGGTTGTCAACGCATCTGGAACCCTCGGGCGTCAGATGTCCATGGGTGGCGGTATTCACTTAACATCAGGTGAACCGTCTGCTCGCTTGGCAACTTATCACATAAAAAAACCTCATTCACTAGACGAAACTCACAAGCATAACACTTTCACTTCAACCTGGTCTTCTGTGAGGTCGTGTAACCTCCCATTCGTGCAGTGAAGACTTGCGTGGCCGTACAGCAGTTGAGTATTCACAGTTGTGAATAGTTCACCGAGAAGATTTTTCCATAAATTTCATTAGTTATAGTCAAATATAATAACGTTGGAGAGGTTTATCATATTTTGCAATATACTAAAAATAAAACGCAACCAGGTGGAAAAGACTAAAGCTAAAATATCGTGGAACATTTTAATCAATGTCAGATATATCATTAATCTTATCCTTTAAACGAGCAATTCTTGTATATATATATATATATATATATATATATATATATATATATATATATATATATAATCGGAATATATATATATAATCGGAATCTCGGAAACGGCTCCAGCGATTTTCATGAAATTTAGTTAAATCGATCTAGCTAGGTTTCATTTTTAGAAAATGTCCTTTTATCCCTGTTTTCAGGGAATGAAAAATATCATTCGAATATGACGGTAAATTTCGCCGCAAGAGAAAATGTTATAATATAGCTCGGTCGGTAATCGGGCGGCCCCAAACCAGACGGCCGTGGTTCGTGTCACGATCATTTACACACTCTTTTTTTTACCTTTTTTTCGATTCAGATCATTGCTTTCTTTATTTTTTTTATTTTTTGGTAATCCAGATGATTTTGTTATTTTTTTCCCTTTTTTTTTAAAGTTGTTTCTTTTATGAAAAACACCACTTCATATTTTCTTATTATTAGGTCGGTAAGATCGAAAAATATTATGCATATTTCATTACTCAGTAATTTGTATCTATATGTAATTTCCAAAATACACGAATTACAAAAAAAAAAACAAACAGCTCAGTCCTCAAGGTACTGTAAATTATGTACGTAACAACAATACGCATGTACAAAATTACGTCGCTTTGGTGTCGTATCAGACTTTAATTTGTCTGAGCTCGTTGGTACGTCGCATAAAAATGTTTGGCTAATGATTTATTTTCATGTATAACTCAAACGATTTCTGGAAAAACCAAAAAAAGAAATAAGCGACCAACTTACGAAAAAAATTAC